AGTGACCCCAGAGACACCACGGAGGCTTTAAGCAAGGAATGTATCACACACATGGGCCTCCCAGATGGTACAGTGGTAAAGAATGCACCTGCCAATGCAGGAGACGCAAGAGACTCTAATTCAACCCCTGAGTCGGAAAGATCTCTGGGAGGAGGTCATGACAGCCACGCCAGTGTTCTTGCCTGGGGAATCCAAGGACAGAGGAGCCTGGCAGGCTAAGTCCATGGGGTCGCAAACAGTCAGATATGACTGAAGTGACTCAGCACGTGTGCAGGTATCACACACATATCATATCAGGTGTATGCATTTTAACAAATAAGTGCTGCCACTTTGTATCAATAATGACCTCAGCTCCCATTTATCCCAAGCTTCGTCATCTATATATCCCTCATCTGATCTCCCCCTCACACTCTTCTGATGGGGGCCTGCATCCAAATTTAGGAGGCAGGTTAAGACATGCCGCAGGGTACATGAGTGATGCCACTAGAATATGTACAGTTATGAGCACCCACTGAACTTGCACAGCAAAGAGATGCACGTGCCAAGCCCCATAATAGCGAGTGTGAAGGACCAACCAACAAGGGCATGACTTCTCAAGTCTTGCTTCTTTTTAAATATTTATTTATGAATATGATTATTATTGGCTGCATTGGGTCTTTATTGTTGGAGAAGGAAATGGCAACCCACTCCACTGTTCTTGCCTGGAGAATCCCAGGGATGGGGGAGCCTGGTGGGCTGCCATCTATGGGGTTGCACAGAGTCGGACACGACTGAAGCGACTTAGCGGCAGCAGCAGCAGGGTCTTTATTGAGGCGTGTGGGCCCAGTTGCCCTGTGGCCTGTGGGACCTTAGTTCCCTCACCAGGGATTGAACTCACATCCCCTGCATTGGAAGCATGGAGTTGTAACACTGGATACCAGGTAAGTCCCGCAAGCCTTGTTTTCTGACATGAAAGCTCCCTCCCTCCACTCCACTCTTGCCCCCAGACCCTGCACCACAAGGATCCCAATGGAGAGCCCACGGGCAGGAAGCTGCCTCAGGGGCCCCACTTGAAAGACAGTGGAGCAGGACCCAGGCTGGTGGCAATGAGCAGAGACAAGCAAGTGAGGGAAAGAGTTGTTCAGAGGTGGGAATGATCACCCAAGGGAGGCAGCTTCTCCTGGACGCGGCCTTGGCAGAGGGGAGTCAGACAAACACGGCACTCAGCAGAAAAGGCCAGTGTCCAAACCCACAACAGACATCGAGACAGCAGGATGGGGCTGGCGTGCAGGGCGTGCAGGTCATGGTTTCAGAAAACTTGAGAACAGAGTTAAAGTAGCCAGGAAGTAGTTGGAGATGCAGGAGTGTTGCGTGAGAGATTCTCTGGATAAGAATGTAGGCCTGGGAATGATCCTGCGCAGAAGGGGGAGTCTAGCCACACAGAGCAGGCGACTTCCCAGAGAGAAAGGGTGTCCAGCAGGGTGAGGGGGCAGCTGGCCACAGACCCCGGGAAGCCGTCGGGAAGGGAGGGGCAAGCAGAAGCCAGGCTGGCCAGGGTCACTCTGAGCAGCAGAGGGTAAAGCACACCAGATCACAGCATCCGATGCGCCCGAGGCCACGGGCTGTTTCTACAAGCCTCTAGAAAATTTGTGATACTCAAAAATAAACTCAGAATGGATTAAAGATCTAAATGTAAGACCAGAAACTATAAAACTCCTAGAGGAGAACATAGGCAAAACCCTCTCCGACATAAATCACAGCAGGATCCTCTATGACCCACTTCCCAGAATATTGGAAATAAAAGCAAAAATAAACAAATGGGACCTAATGAAACTTAAGAGCTTTTGCACAACAAAGGAAATTATAAGCAAGGTGAAAAGACAGCCCTCAGATTGGGAGAAAATAATAGCAAACGAAGCAACAGACAAAGGACTAATCTCAAAAATATACAAGCAGCTCCTGCAGCTCAATTCTAGAAAAATAAATGATCCAATCAAAAAATGAGCCAAAGAACTAAACAGACATTTCTCCAAAGAAGACATACAGACGGCTAACAAACACATGAAAAGATGCTCAACATCACTCATCATCAGAGAAATGCAAATCAAAACCACAATGAGGTACCATTACACGCCAGTCAGGATAGTTGCTATCCAAAAGTCTACAAGCAATAAATGCTGGAGAGGGTGTAGAGAAAAGGGAACCCTCTTACACTGTTGGTGGAAATGCAAACTAGTACAGCCGCTATGGAGAACAGTGTGGAGATTTCTTAAAAAACTGGAAATAGAACTGTCACATGACCCAGGAATCCCACTCCTGGGCATACACACCAAGGAAACCAGATCTGAAAGAGACACGTGCACCCCAATGTTCATCGCAGCACTGTTTATAATAGCCAGGACATGGAAGCAACCTAGATGCCCATCAGCAGACGAATGGATAAGGAAGCTGTGGTACATATACACCATGGAATATTACTCGGCCATTAAAAAGAATTCATTTGAATCAGTTCTAATGAGATGGATGAAACTGGAGCCCATTATACAGAGTGAAGTAAGCCAGAAAGATAAAGACCAATACAGTATACTAACGCATATATGGAATTTAGAAAGATGGTAATGATAAACCTATATGCAAATCAGAAAAAGAGACACAGATGTACAGAACAGACTTTTGGACTCTGTGGGAGAAGGCGAGGGTGGGATGTTTCGAGAGAACAGCATCAAAACATGTATATTATCTATAGTGAAACAGATCACCAGCCCAGGTTGGGTGCATGAGACAAGTGCTTGGGCCTGGTGCACTGGGAAGACTCAGAGGGATTGGGTAGAGAGGGAGGTGGGAGGGGGGATCGGGATGGGGAATACATGTAAATCCATGGCTGATTCATGTCAATGTATGACAAAACCTACTACAATATTGTAAAGTAATTAGCCTCCAACTAATAAAAATAAATGAAAAGAAAAAAGAAAAAAAAAGAAAAAAAAATTTGTGATACTGAACTTCAAGGGGTTCAAGATACCACATTTCAAGGTGGGTTGGCAAGGGAACAAATGCAGTGGGCAGACCACCCTCCCCACCAAGAAATGGACTGGAGGGTGAAGGGGGTGCCCACAGGCTTGAGAGAGGTCTCTTCTAGGACAGGGGTTCTGTGCAGAGATGAATGACTTGGTAGAGAGAAAGAATGAGACACGAGAACCTGAAGGGGGAATGAAGAAAGAAGGTTCTGAGGGGAGAAGAGAGGGAGGGCTTGGGGAAGGGGGACAGATGGGTCTGGTGAGCTGACAGGGAGAAAGGACCTGGTTAATGAGGCAGGAAGAAAAGCTAACGCCAACCTAGACCGCATATCGAAAAGCAGAGACATTTCTTTGCTGACAAAGGTCCATCTAGTCAAAGCTATGATTTTTCCAGTAGTCATGCATGGATGTGAGAGTTGGACCATAAAGAAAGCTGAGCCCTGAAGAATTGATGTGTTTGAACTGTGGTGTTGGAGAAGACTCTTGAGAGTCCCTTGGACTGCAAGGAGTTCCAACCAGTCCATCCTAAAGGAGATCAGTCCTGAATATTCACTGGAAGAACAGACGCTGAAGCTGCAACTCCAATACTATGGCCACCTGATGCGAAGAACCAACTCATTGGAAAAGACCCTGATGCTGGGAAAGAGTGAAGGTGGGAGGACAAGGGGAAGACAGAAGATGAAATGGTTGGATGGCATCACTGATGCGATGGACATGAATTTGAGCAAGGTCCGGGAGTTGGTGATGGGCAGGAAAACCTGACTTGCTGCAGTCGATGGGGTCACAAAGAGTCGGACACGACTGAGTGACTAAACTGAACTCAATGAGGCAGGGAAGATGCCAGTGAGAGAGAGTCAATTCCTAGGCAGGTTGATAAGAAGTCCAGGCTCTCCAAGGAGGAGATAGGGGTCTGGGATTCTCAAGGAGGAGGAAAGGACAGTTTTATCTACATTCCTTAGTAAGAATTATATAACAATCCTAGTTGAGGACATGTTTATCCTTCCTAAAAACTTTCTGACTAATCCTGCTATCTAAAAGTGTATATTATGGGAGTGGGTCTAGTAAGATCTTTACAACCTTGAGATGATTTATTGTAATAACCAATTTAAAAAGTATATAACTCCCTTGCTAAGACTAGGGATGGGGGCACTCTCTGCCCACCTTCTATGTCTATGTCAGAAGCTTTCTCTTTCTCTTTTTCACTTTAACAAAACTCTGCTACACAAAAGCTCTTGAGTGATCAAACCTGGTCCCGGGCCCCGAAGCTAAATCTTCTTCTTCGGAGATCATGAATCCAACATCGTTCACTGTAAACCATCGGCAGTGCGGAAGAGGGAAGCAAGGGGACCCACAGTGACCATCCAGACCCTCTGGGGAGGGAGGGCCATGGAGGGGGAGGTGCAGAGGAAGATGAGGCAGGGGTCCAGTAAACGGGGGCAGCAGCGAAGTGGACCCCCAGCTGAAACCTCTAGGATTAGGCTGAGGCAGGGAGGCCACCAGGATCCCGTGCGGGGATGCGGGGCTTCTCAGTTGGAGAACTCAGGAGCCCCCAAGACCGCTGAGGACAGAGCCGTCCACGGAGACAAAGGAACCTGGCCGGACCAGTTGAGTGAGACTCACACCGAGTGAATGCCGGACTGGAGCTGTGGCGACTGGAAGGCTGGATGTCCCGGCGACTCCGGGAAGAGGAGGCGTGCCCTCCAGGAGGAGAGCTCGCACCCCGGTGGGTGCAGGCGCTGTTGACAACACGGGGCGGACACCTGAGACTGAGTTCTGGGGTCAAACTCTGAGCTTGACCACATCGGGTTTCGCCCCGAGGGACCTTCAGCTGTCCCCTGGGAGATAACTTAGAGATGACATTTGGAAGGGTGGCGATTGGCCCAGACGTCGGGTGTGACAGGGTCTCTGTGGAGGAATGCGGTATTGGGTCTCTGCTGCTCTGAGTTCCTGCCCCATCAGCGGCCCTGCCCCTCTGCCTGACCTTCCCCCCATCTGTCGTTGTAGATGGTACTAGCCAGGATTCAGTGCAGATGGAACCAGAAGGTGAGCTGCGTGCTGCCACAGGGGTCATCGCGTCCCACCGTGAGCCCTGCTGTTGGGTAAGGGATGCCCCACACATCTCCCGAGCCATCTAGAGGGTACAGGATCCATGGGGGTGACAGAGTTCAGGACCCACCGCCCCAAACGTGGTGCTCAGCATCGTGAACATTTTGGGCTGAAGGCATCTGAGAGGAGGTCGGAAGGGACTCTCCCCTCCTTCTCCTCCCTTGAAGCAGGTGACAGGACCCTCACAGGAGAGGTGCCCCCACACCCAGGACAGGGGCCTCCCTTCCTCCAAATGGAGGGGCCACAGAGGAATCGGAACCCCCAGGCCCTCTGGTCTGCCGGCTCTCACACCCCTGGGCTCCTCCCCACGTCCTGCCTCCTCTCACAAGACTCTTCAGCCTCCCTGGAGCCCAGCGCACAAATTCTCAGATCTTCATCTGCTTGTGAAGCTTCCTGCTCACCTAGAATTTGTAGCAGTGAATCTGGACACCTGTCTCCTGCTAATCTGTCTTGGTCAGTTTAATTTCCAGACCCAGCCAAGGACCCTAAGAAGCCAGAGGAAAAGTTTTCTCTCCTGTCAAGTTTCACAGAAGCAACTGACCACTGGGACCTCCAAATCTGTTGCCTGCTGAGATTTCTTACCAAAAAATTTGTGCACAAAATTTTGTTAATTAACAGCATTTTATCACCAACAGTCTAAAGTAGTACACTGGGCAAAAAGCCACCTCCACAGAAGCCCATCCATGGAGGCGTGTATTTTCCAAACTCCTCCCCATTGATGCTGCCCTACAGCCCCTGCAGGGTCCCCATGCCTGTTCCCCTTGGCTTGAGGCCCTCATGGGAGCAACGTTCTGAAGAGTGGGGAGGGGGATGAGGATACGGAGTGCAGGCAGGGTCAGTAAATGGGAAGGAAATGGAAAGTCAGGATGGAGGGAAGCTGAGCTGACATCGAGTGATTCCAAGCTCACAAGAGAAGGTCTATGGCTCTGTCTTCAGAAGCATCGCTGGGCAAGTGGGGCGGAATTGCCTGTCCCACCTGCGTGCACAGGGCGGGGGACCCCACCTGCCGGCGTCCCTCACTCTGGCTCCTGCTGGCCAGGGTTTGTGGGCCTCTGTCCTCTCCACCTGCCGGCTGTGCCTTCAGCCCTCACGGCGTCTGGTCCAGGACTGCTGAGCCAGGAAGGTAGGGTTGGCTCCCTTCTGCTTCACAGAGGTGTTGACGATAGATCCCCACCACATCCATCTATCTATCCATCTATCTGTTTATCCATCCATCCATCTATCTATTATCTGCTGACCTATTTAATATTTATCTATTATCTATATTTCTACCTCAGACTGAAAACTACAACAACAGAAAGCTAATTAAGCTGATCACATGGACCACAGCCTTGTCTAACTCAATGAAACTATGAGCCATGCTGTGTAAGGCCACCCAAGATGGACGAGTCACGGTGGAGAGGTCTGACAAAACGTGGTCCTCTGGAGAAGGGAATGGCAAACCACTTCAGTAGTCTTGCCTCGAGAACCCCAAGAACAGTATGAAAACGGAAGAAGATATGACACTGAAAGATGAGCTCCCCAGGTCTGTCAGTACCTGATATGCTACAGGAGAAGAGTGGAGAAATGACTCCAGAAAGAATGAAGGCAGGAGAAGAAGGGGGCAACAGAGGATGAGATGGTTGGCTGGTATCACTGACTCTGTGGACATGAGTTTGAGCAAGCTCTGGGAGTTGGTGATGGACAAGGAGTCCTGGTGTGCTGCAGTCCATGGGGTTGCAAAGAGTTGGACACAACTGAGTGACTGAACTGAACTGATCTACCCTACCTATCTATTATCTATCTCTCAAGTTATCTATTCTCTGTTTATCTATGTCTCTATTATCGATCTACCTATCATCTATCTCTCTAGCTATCGTTGTTTAGTCACTAAGATGTGTCCGACTCTTTTGTGGCACCATGAACTGTAGCCCTGCCAATCTCTGTCCACAGGATTTTTAGGCAAGAACACTGGAGTAGATTGCCTTTTCCTTCTCCAGAGTATCTTGTAGGGATTGAACTTGGGTCTCCTGCATTGCAGGTGGATTCTTTACCACTAAGACCCCAGGAAGCCCTCATCTATCTACCAATCTACTACCTATCTGTCTATCTACCTACTTATCTGCCTATCTATCATCTATCTCTCTAGCTAGCTATTATCTGTTTATCTATTATCTCTCTATCATCTATCTACCTACCTACCTACTTATGTAACCACGTTTTACAGGTGAGGAACCACTGCTCTGGGAGATCAGTGACCCTGCCAGCCCCTCCTCCAGGAAGGACCGGTCTGGGCTCATGGTAGCCATTCCTCTCTCCAATCAGCCCTGTTGCCTCCATCCCCTGCAGCCATCAAGGACCTCATTTGCCTAATTTTGTCATGACATGGAGGGTTTAGGTGGAAAGAATTGACCGCTTTTGCCACCTGGCCCTGCAGCATTTCTTTTCTGGCTCAAGACTGGCTAGCTTGGGGAGAGAGCAACTTCCAGGGTCTCCATAAGCAGCAGGGGTGGTTTCTCCGGCCAGGGCTGTGGCAGGTGTCTGATCTTCATCACGGGCCGTGAATGATGGCTGTGCCCCTCCAGGCCCTGCTATGAATCATCACTGCCCACATTTCCAGCACCTGGGAGGATGGTTTACTACACAGGATGAAATAATAACTCAGCTCTGTATTGACAAGCCCGGCAGTATATACTTCCTTGCCATGAAGGGGTGTGAATATTGTGCCACATTATTTAAATAGTAGGTATCTCAACAGACGTACAAATCTAAGTGGACTTAATCCACATCTGTGTGACTGACAAGCATGCAGTTCAGGCTGTGTGGCCTCAATTGACCAAAGAACAATTGAGTCCGTGTTTTTGAATGTGGATCAATGACACGCCATTGATGGCGTTGGCTGAGCAGCAGTTGAGCCTGTCACTTGAGCCGAGGGCCAGCATAGCTCAGTTTAAAATGACAGTAAGTGACCACCCTGTGTCAGCCCCGTGAAGCCCTCCTGAAAGATACACCATAAACTACAGCCCTGTCTGCCCTCCGCTTTCAGTGATAATACAAGACAGGGCAAGAAAGAAATCAGAAAGCAATCAATCAGAGTTGAAACTCTGGAAATGTTAGGGAAAGAAGAATACATGCTGAGGGTTCAGAAATAGGAGAAACGTGTAAGAACGTGTGAGCTGGGGCCGCGGAGCCCAGGACTATCCCTTGTCTTTGCATTTTGAGTTTCACCTCAGGAACCACAGTCTGTTTTCACAAAATATAATTCGGAGTTGAAGATCAACTGGAGGGGTTTTTCCTCTGAGAAAGCAGATCTCAGGGGAGTTTTGTGTGGTCACTGCCAGCTTGTCAGTCAACGAATAAGGCTCCTCCCTTGAGCCCCTGTCCAGCACACAGCCTTCAGCTCCGCAGAGAGACAGCTGGCAGAGCAGGAACACGGGCGGGTCACCTGGGGAAGGTGGGCTGCAGTTTGATGGAGCTTCTTCCTGCGACAGGTGCGTCCAGAGTCAAGACTCTATTTTCAAAATCAAGAGATGGCAAAAGGGATGAGCAGCACAGAGAAAAAATGTGGTGTCATTTTTAACTTCATGTACGAACATGTAATTTTGCAAAAATACATAAATATGACCATAACGTGTTACTGAGTTTTGTTCCCTTTTTGTTCCTACGGTTGTCACTGCTACATACCCTGCTCCCTCCTCACCTTCCTCCTAAACCAATCTAGGCGGTCCATCGCAGGGAGTCTTGTAACCACGTGGTACTCAGCCACACACACACACACACATCTGAGATCACACATCACAGACCCCTGTCCCCACTCTGTTTTCTCACTTCATTGTATCTGGTGGATGTTGTTCCCTGGCATAATTCTCATTCATTTTCAAAGCCCCTTCTGATGCTTCGCGGTGTGGACACTCTGTGACGTATTCAAGCATCTCCCTTGCCTTGGGTCATTCACTTTGTTTCTGACGTCGGACCCTCTGAGCCGCGCTGTGGTCACTTTTGTACTTAGTTCTGTTCAGTCAACTTCACTCGCTCAGTTGCGTCCGACTTATTTCGACCCCATGGACTGTAGCACGCCAGGCTTCCCTGTCCATCACCAACTCTCAGAGCTTGCTCAAGCTTTCTTGTCCTTAAATCTTTATGTAAGTGCCTTTTAATTTCCAGGATGGTTTTCTGGGAGCAGGACCGCTGGGTTGAAGTACAGATGGCCCCTGACTCGTGATGGTTTGACTCACAGTTCTCTGACTTGGCAACGATGTGAAAGAGACACGCATTCAGCAGAGAGCACACTTGCAGTTTTGAGCCCTGCCACTCTTACCGCAGTGACGGCGCGCGGCAGGGCCCGCTCTCCGGGGCTGGGCGGTGGCAGCCCGTCTCCAGCAGCCCCAACGGGCCCCCCGGGGCAGCCTCTGTCTGTCACTTTCAGCGCTGTACTCAATAAATGGCACGCGATATTCAACACACTATCAAATGTATTAGGTGTTCTTGCCCAAGCGCAGGTTAATGCAAGTCTTCTGAGCACATTTGGGATAGGCTGGGCTAAGTTGTATTGTTCTGTAGGTTAGGTGTAATCAGTGCATTTTTAACTCAGGGGAGTCCACGGGATCGCGAAGACTCGGACAGGACTGAGTGCAGCACACAGTACACGATCTGCTTAAAACAGGTTTATCGGACATAACCCTACCGTCAGTCAAGGAAGATCTGTCATTGCTCCTAAAGCGAATGGATGTGGCCAGCCGTCTCCAGGGGCTGTGACAGTGAGCATTCTTTGCCTTTGCTGTGTCCTGCCAGCAATGAGTGTTTCCTGAATAATTTTCTCCATCTTGCCAAAAAAAAAAAAAAAGCTGATGCTTCTTTGTGAGTCACACTTTATTCTCTTTGCCAATTTTCTATTGTTTTCATATCTCTTTTTTATTTCTAAGATGGTTTTTTTCTCCCTTTAAAGTTGTGGGTGACACCCTCTCTGTCCTCTGCTTGTGGCTAGCCCCCAGGCCTGATAGATGCCTCTGTGGCCATGTTTAGGCTGGTCAGTGTTCCAGGGCCTTCCCTCCAGACACGTGGTCAGCTTGTGCCCTCTTCCTGTCTGAAGTTGGCCATGTTGTTGTGACCACTTTGGTCAACGGACTGTGGTCAGATGTGAGGAGCCTGACTTGTAGCCTGAAGACTTGGAGGACAAACATGCTGTTTGCCAGAGTGTCTCCCTTCTGCTGGGGAAATACCAACATTCCAGACAGCAACGCCTCTGAGAGCCTCAGTCCCAGAGTGTGACCACATGAAGGAGAGGTCCGTGCACCCCAGCGTCAGCAATGACTCCGGATGGGACTGTGGCTTTTGTGCCTTATCCTAGTTCATCCTGACAGACACAGACATTGTCATGGAGAATTGACCTGCTGTGAAAGAAAGAGGGAGGGAGAGGAAGAAGGAAGAAAAAGAGGGAGGGAGAGAAGGGGGAAGAAAGGAAGAGAGGAGCAGAAAAGAAGGAGGGAAGAAGAGTGAAGGATGGAAGGAAGGAAGGAGGGAGAAAGAAGGAAGGGAAAGAGGGAGGGAGGGAGAAGGGGAGGAAGGAGCTACAGACACAGACGCCTCATTGACCTGAGCACTGATCAACTCCTCGTGACCATGTAATTATTAGTCACTGTCTGGAAAGAGGATGATCACCTTGTGGTGATCAAGTGTTTGGAAAACTGCGGCTTGTAGAAACTTGCGGGATAATCACAGCTGTGTAGTTCTAGAGCAAGACAGAAACTCAGGATATTTTCCGTATACTGGTCATCTTCATCTATTTTGGGGGGTTATTGTAAGAAATTCATGATCGGAGAAGAGCTGGTCCATTTGTGGGCAGTGATAGAAGGAAACTGAGTAATAAAATTAGAGCAGAGATAAACAAATAGAGACTAGAAAAACAAAACATAAAATCATGGAAAGCAAGAGTTGGTGCTTCCAAAATACTAACAAAATTCACCAACTTTTACCTAGACTGATAAAGGGAAAAACAGAGAAGATTCAAATAATTTAAATCTGAAACTAAAGAGGAGACATTACAACCAAGGTTACAGAAATGAAAAGGATTATAAAATAATACTATGGAGAACTGTACCCAAACAAATTAGGTAACCTAGATGAAATGGGTCAATTTCAGAAACATACATCCAACCTGAAACAAACAACCAAAACTGAATTATGAAAAAATAGAGTGTCTAAACAGACCTGTAATTAGTAAGAAGATTGAATTAATGTAAAACTTCTCAACAACAACAACAAAGTCCAGAACCGTTGGCTTCACTGCAAATGCTACCAAACACTTAAAAATAACTGAGACTGACTCTCCACAAAGAGTTCCCCCAAACTGACAAGGAAACCCCTCCAAGCACATAAGATAAGACCATCCTTATGCTGATAGGAGGCCACATGCAGAAACTTCAAGAAAAAACCTGTAGAACAATATCCCAAAACACACTGATGCAGAACTCGCCGGTAAAATCCTAGGGAGCACCTCGGCAACACGTTAAGGACATTATAAATCAGAGACACGATTAAGAGAACATGAGAGACACAGTGAAGAAAGTTCTTCTAAAAAACTAAAAACAGAGCTACCATATGCTCCTGTAATCCCACTCCTGGGCGTATATCTGGAGAAAAACATAACTCAAAAAGAGATACACGCACCCCAATGTTCACAGCAATACTATTCACAATAGCCAAGACATGGAAACAACCGAAATGTCTACCTTGGATAAGGAAGATGTGGTATGGCGGAATACCACTCAGCCGTAAAGAGAATAAAACAGTGCCATTTCCAACCACACAGATGACCTAGAGATGGCCATACTAAGTGAAGTATGTGAGACAGAGAAAGACAAATACCGTACGATATCACTTATTTGTGGAATCTGAAAAAATGATACAAATGAACTTATTTAGACAACAGAAATAAACTCAGAGACATAGAATACAAACTTACGGTTCCCAAAGGGAAAACGTGGGCAGGAATAAATTAGGAGCTGGGGATTGAGGTATACACACTACGAGATTGCTTGACCAATGAACTTTGAGAAGGAGTCAACTCCACCATTTCGACGTAGCTTTCTCTCCACTCCACAACTCTATTCTAGTGCCTCTTACCAACACTGTCCTGTGCAGGAAATCAACTGGATTGGCCTTTTTCAGTGGAAAGCAGAGCTGATTATGTGTAGCAAGATTTTAACTTAGTAAAAAGGTTTAGAGAAGAAGCAGGGTCCCCAGGAACCACTGTGACCCCCCACCTCCTTTCTGCTCCCCTCACTCAGAATGCGCTATGTCTATAAATTGGATTTTCATCCCTTCCCTTCCTGAAACTCACCATGTATGGTTTATTTCTCAGAAAGAGCTTTCTGGCCACATGGCTTTATTCAAAAAGGTCATCCTTAGCAGGAAGAAACCACTTGAGGAAATATTTGCTACACTCTCTCGCTGTCAGGGGTGTTGATATGACATCAGGCTGCCAGCTACGTCTGTCCCCTCTTCTTCCCCCACACAATCAGAAAACAGCAAGGACACATTTAAGACAATTATTATGTTTATTCAGCTCATCTCTCAGCACTGCAAAAATAGCCGTAAGCCAGGAGGTTAGCCTGTCCAATTTATTCTGTTGTAAACGGAGGTGAGAGCTTGATCTCAAAGTTACTGGAAGATGAAAGAAAGAAAAAAAAATGACACAGGCTGAGAGAGTGAAGAGGAATCATCTATTCTGTGTGCGTGAGTCAAAAACACATTCCGGGCATAGAACCTGTGGGGGTAAGGATGTGCTGAAGTGTGCTCGGCGGCGGCCCAAGTGGCTGGTCCCGTGAGAACTCTCACCGCTCATATGTACACCCCAGTTCGTAAAGGAGACTCTTCAGTGGGATAAAAAAACTCAGCTCGTCTGGATTCTGTTTGGAAGTTGGGAAAGGCAGAAGCTGAGTGAAGGGGTTCCTCAACGGCCTTTAAAAAAAATGGCATTGGATAACAAAGGTAATGCTGCATCTAATTCTCACCAGAATACTTTGCATACTTGGCTCTCTCACCAGAAACAAGAAAAGGCAGTGGCGCTTGCGTTGAGAAAGTGATATTCTTCAGGGACGTTGAATTATTGAGTTTGGAGGATGATGGAAACTTGAGTGAAAAAGCTGGTATTTCTGCGCTTCAGGCCAGGGGTGGAGCCCCGAGTTCAGGGCCCTCAGGATCTATGAGGCTCCGAGGCGGCATCCCCACCCCAAAGGCAGCAACATCCGGAGCCTTTGGCCACTAGGAAGCCACCCCCAGCCCTGCCGGCAGGTCGATGAGGACGTGACATGACAATCCCAAAGCAAAGTCTCCGAGGACGGGGGACGTGGCCCCGACCCCACACTCCCCGCCCTGGGCCCCTGCCCAGGACAGAGCAGACGCGAAGGCCGACTTCCCAAACCCAGCACCAGCCCGCTCCCAGGCTTATCTCGTGCAGCCTGAACTCAGACCCTCAGCTTTCTTACTACAGGCAGGACCCGCTCCTCCTGGGACGGACATCTTCCCAGGACCAGCGGAGCACGTTCCTGGAGCCGGTGGCCTCGGCTTCGCCACAGGCCTTGAGGGCTTAGGTGGCGAGAGGCCGCCCACCCTGGAGCTGGATTTTGTCTACAGAGAGGCTCCCGGCTGGCGCTCCGGAGGCCGGCCTATTTCAGGAAGGCCTGGGCTGCCTCTGGTTGTCAGCGCCCACAGCCTCACACTCGGGTTATCTGGAGCAGCCAGCTGGGGCAACGTGTGAAGTGAGGAAGCGCTGAGCCCGTGGGGACACAGGGCGGGTGGCCGTGCGTGCCCTCGCGGCGGGCTTCCTGTCGGAGCTGGAGGGGGGCGGGTGAGGCCCTGGCGGGAGGGAGCACCCTTCCACCAAACCCGGGCTGGGCTGCAGGCATCCCCTGAAAGGCTGGGAGGTTCAGGGCAGCTTCCGGCCCCGCTCACCTCCGGGAAGGGACTAAGGCTGAGGGCTGACCCACTTGGGCGACTCTGGGCCCTCAAAGTTTGACTTTGCGGCTGTTCAGTCTCTACGTCATGTTCCACTCTTAGAGCCCCTGCAGCCCCGCGGACTGCGGCGCACCAGGCTCCTCTGTCCCCCACCACTCTCTCCCAGAGCTTGCTCCAACTCATGTCCATAGAGTCAGTGACGCCATCCCACCATTATATTCTCTGTTGCCCCTTCTCCTCCTGCCTTCAATCTCTCCCTGCATCAGGGTCTTCTCCACATCAGGTGGCCAAAGGATTGGAGCTTCGGCTTCAGCTTTAGCATCAGTCCTTCCAATGAATATTCAGAGTTGATTTCCTTTAGGATTGACTCATTTGATCTCCTTGCAGTCCAAGGGGCTACTGAAATAAAATACTCTCTTTCCAAATGCATACTGTGAAGGAGAATTTTTGCCCCAATTTGTAAAGTTATAGTTTATTGCTGAAATAGCCTGAGGGTACAAGTACAAATGAAATGACATTAATTAAAATATAAAGCAGCAGCAGAAAGGATCATTTCATCATGCAAGTTCAAAAGAACAGGAAAACTATTGGACGATCTGTCCTTTCACTTCTGGGGAGAACTGGACTGACGGGGGTGGGGGGGGGGAAGGGGGGCGGGGGGCCTTGCCCTCCAGTTTCCAAGACTAAACTCAGCAGTGTCCTCCGTGAAGAACACTGCCTGACTTTTCCAAAATGTTAGTTGAGAGTGGAAAGTGGGTTTTGCTCGTGGATCTCCAAGGTCATCAAGAAGCAAAGGAAGCAGTCTCCCTGTTGGTTTTCTGGTGTCCCATTCAGCGAGGGTCCTATCCCTTCAATGGGCTCCTGGAGTGCTTGTAAAAGGTGATGCTGGCCATGTAGACACGTGATCGGCAGGCCTTAGAGATGCAGCTGCCTCTGGCCCTCGGGGAGGATGACAGTGAGAAGTGCCCCCCCTCTGGTTCCAGGATTTCCTGATTGGAAGTGCAACAGATGACACGTGGGTGATAAATAGACTCCTTGGGAGGCCCCCCGGGGCATCACACCCGGGGGCGCTCACGGGCAGGTCATCAGCGGAGGAGGAAGAGGCCCACAGTCTGTGCTAGGAGAGCAGCCCCAAGCGGTGGAGCTGATGGACAGGAGTGGGGACCAGGGAGGAATTTCAGGAGCATCCCCTGGTGCCCTGGCTCTGGCTCCTGGCAGAGGGACACCCAGTTACGACCTCAGCCTGGAGGTCCTGGGGTCCCAGCACCTGGTGGCCAGCCCTGACCAGGCCGAGTGGCCTGTCCAGAGAGCAGCTCTGGAGCAGGAATCCTCAGAGGATGAGACAGAGAAAGGGGCCCATTGCCTCGAGATTAGAACAGAGACCCCAGGGCCATCTCCTCCTGGGCGCCTCTCCCCACACCCGCTGCTGTGGCCCCACCCAGCTTCCAGATGGTCCTTCCATCAGCATGACCCCACTCATGATCCCCTCACCTCCAGGGTGGACAGTGGGGAGGTCGCGGCAGCCTGCTTCTTCCTCCCTCGGAAATCACTGGGCTGCAGCCTCATCCCGACACATCCAAGAGCCTTGTGGGCAGCGCCCTCTGAGGCCTTGAGAGGGAGCTGCTGCGTGTGTGTGTAAGTGTGTGTGTACGTGCCTCTCTATGTGTGTGTGCTTGTGCAGTTGAGTGCAGGGAGGTGGGAAAGGAGAAAAGAATTGAGAACCAGCGACCAAGACAAGACATGACTAAGCAACTGAACAACAACAGCAAAATTTAATCAGGAGGAAAATTATTGTTGCTGCAGTCGGCCACTCAGTCGTGTCCAACTCTTTGCGACCCAATGGACCGCAGCACACCAGCCCTCCCTGTCCATCACCAACTCCCGGAGTTTGCTCAGATTCATATCCATTGAGTCGGTGATGCCATCCAATCATCTCATCCTCTGTCGCCCCCTTCTCCTCCTGCCTTCCATCTTTCCCAGCATCAGGGCCTTTTCCAATGATTTAGCTCTTCATATCAGGTGGCCAAAGTATTGGATCTTCAGCTTCAGCATCAGTCCTTCCAATGAATATTCAGGACTGATTTCCTTTAAGATTGGTTTAATCTCCTTGCTGTCCCAGGGACTCTCAAGAGTCTTCTCCAACACCACCATTTGAAAGCATCAGATCTTTAGTGCTCAGCCTTCTTTATGGTCCAACTCTCACATCTGTACATGACTACTGGAAAAACCAGTAGAAAAAAAGAGAAAAATGAGTAAGCAGAAAGGGAAAGATAATGCCTACCACCAGAAAAACTTCAGGAAATCTCATTGCCAATTACACACAAAGAGATGTATATGTGAAGCTGCAGTCACGGTGTTTTTTTTTTTTTAATTTATCCTTTTGAAAATTTCAACTTATTACACTTGCACAATGGAAGACCCAGCCCCAAACACTGGGAGGCGGGGTGGGCACGGCCTCCACAGAGGACTCAGGGTCCGGGGGGCTGCATCCACAAGGGAGTCCATCCCGGGAACAGCACGTCGCTGAGAGCTGACCTGCGACAGGAGGGCCTCTGCCACATGGAAGGGCCCTCAAAGCTTGGTTCAGGGTTAGGGGCTGCTCTGAGCCTTCAGTCAGAAGCCCTGCCTGCCCACCTATCTGTGAGTATCCTTGGGCCCCTGTGTGTGCTTCACCTGTGGACTCAATGAAGTTTGGGATGGAGCCGCTTAGGATGAGAGATGCCCCGGAGAACAGAGACAGGCAGTGCCCAAAATCCATGGATACGGCGCCCAGGGTCCAGCTTGGGGCTCACAGGCTCTTTTACTTGTATAAGATTACATCATGTCCTATTCCCTTGCCTATACTTATAGCCACACCCACCTCTATTAAGAATACATCCCTCACCTATAGATCGTCAATATCCACACAGGTATTTATAGCAATGTCTGCATCATGTATACCTGTACCTGTATCTCTGTATTTGTTTCTATACCTATATTCGCATCCATACAACCTCTATATTATCATTTTCAATGCAATTTGGAGAAAATGGAGAGGTAGAAGGTAAAAATATAAGTCATACTTAGAGGTCAGCATGAATATTGTAATAGTTTCCTTTAATATATGTTTGCCCCGTCTTTTACCTAATTGGAATACCTCATTTACATTCTCTAGGTCTGTTTTTGCATTTAGGTTTATGTCACACATATATTCTTTAAAATCATTATACATCCATATTGCTTAAAAAAATATTCACCAAATAGCCTTCCCGGGAGGTTAGATGTTTAGACCTTGGCAACCTACAGAGCACTTCAGTGGTCATCTCTGAGTGAAGCTGCTTCGCATGTGGAGCTGCGGTCTAGGGGTTCCACCTCACACTTGAGCTGCTCAGTTGAGATGTAAACGCGTCCTGGGTGTCCTGAAACCTCTCCCTGAATTGCCCCCTGGAAGGTCTGTCTGTCTGTGTCCCCAGCGCTCGCTGGCTGCGCCCTGGGAGGGCAAGGGTGCCCAGCCACAATGCAGGTGCTTGGAGGCCGAGGGACCCCGTGGCAGGAACGGGCGCCCGCTCAGACCTCGAGAGAAGGCAGACACCATCCACATGCTGGAGCTGCTGGGTTATTTCACTGAAATCTGATGTCCCCAGGGGATTCACACAAGTCATAACAATTTTCACAGAAACTGTTGACTTCAGGTGTGTCAAACATCCCGTGAACAACAGAAAATCCGGATCATAATGTCCCTCAATACGGGCTTCTCTTAGGCGCGCCTGGAAGCTATCACAATCCTTCGAAGAGGTTGATGCTTTAATAACAATTTTGCTGTTGCATAAAATTAACCTTGGATTATCTGGAAACACATAATCCCTTGTTATCAGCCCCTTCTGTTAAACCTTTGCTAAGTCGTTTCAGTCGGGTCTGACTCTTTTCAACCCTGTGGATTGTAGCCCACCATGAGCCTCTGTCCATGGGATTCTCCAAGCAAGAATAGTAAACTGGGCTGCCATGCCCTCCTCGAAGGGATCTTTCTGACCCGAGGATCGAACCTGTGTTTCTTGTGTCTCCTGCATTGGCAGGCAGGTTCTTTACCACTGAGCCACCTGGGAAGCCCCTTAAACCCTTAAGAGAAGGCATTCAAACGCTGAGAACTGCAACGTGCATAAAACCGACAGGGCCGGATGTGAAGAGCCGTGGATTCGGGACACAGCTCTGAACTGGGTGACACTGGTGGGCAGAGAGGGCACCACTGAGACTGTCAGACCCTGAACAGACACTCAGATCAGCCCTTCCTCTCTGCGGGTCTGGACGGACCCGGGACCACCGTGGAGCCCAGGCTTCACGCACTTGCTCTTAGGCGCTGCCAACACAGCATCCTTCCAGTTAAATCGGGTTGGTCAAAGGGGCTCTGGGGGTGGTTGCCCCTGGTGGGGGTCAACCCCACCAGTTTTTGCTTCTGCCACCCTGGAAGACTCTAGAAGGGATGGCTGACGTGATGCAAGGGAGAGGGGGTTTGGGGGCTCTGTGCAGAGTCACAGTGGGATCATCTCAGGCGGCCCTGCCCCACCCCCCACCCCCACCCCGACTCCTGATGGCATCTCTGCCTAGAGTCCTCCATGACATCAATCCCAACCGCTCCTCCACTGGTAACTTGCCTCTAAACAATAGCTTGTGTTTCAGAGAGTTATATTCTTTTTTCTCCTGGACCGACACTCAAGTATCTTCATTAGGGGAACGCTTTGAAATAAGGCAGCAAGTGTCTGAAAGCTCGGAAGTCAAAGGTGCGTTTCGTGGCTGATGTAAGGAAACGTTTGTCTGGAGCCTGAGCGA